CTGGTACACGGACTATTGAGACTCCCCCATCTGGTACACGGACTATTGAGACTCCCCGATCTGGTACACGGACTATTGAGACTCCCCCATCTGGTACACGGACTATTGAGACTCCCCCATCTGGTACACGGACTATTGAGACTCTCCCATCTGGTACACGGACTATTGAGACTCCCCCATCTGGTACACGGACTATTGAGACTCCCCCATCTGGTACACGGACTATTTGAGACTCCCCCATCTGGTTCATGGACTATTGAGACTTCCCCATCTGGTACACGGACTATTGAGACTCCCCCATCTGGTACACGGACTATTGAGACTCCCCCATCTGGTACACAGACTATTGAGACTCCCCCATCTGGTACACGGACTATTGAGACTATCACATCTGGTACACGGACTATTGAGACTCCCCCATCTGGTACACGGACTATTGAGACTCCCCCATCTGGTACATGGACGCGGCGCGCCTCAGAGAAACTGACGTGTATTGCGCATTTCCTGCACCCGCGTAGACCGTCGGGGGGGGGAGAAGAGGAGGCAGGTCTGCAGGAAACCAAGAGCTGCAGCGGCGAGAAAACAGCCTGGAAAAATAAGGAGCGAACAGAAACCAAGGAAACGACAACTTATACATCGCTTCTTCGGCCATTCTCACATCGGGCAGCTTGTTTTGGGGGAATTCTCCCAATGCACGGCACGAAGGCTGGAGGCTCCCTGTTTTCCAAAGGTGGAATACGAGTGTTTCCAAAGCATCGGAGAGTTACCGAAGAGATCCAGCTTGGATATATGTTGCTGTGTCGGCTGTGGTTTTGGGAAGACTGAGGATATTCCATAGTCGCATTATCCCTGCGTGCAGGCCTAAGCTTGGACTAAAACCTTTATTTATTATATTCAAAAGAAAGGCTTGGACTGGTTCAACCCCAAATGTGGATTATCATTGTGACGACCCGTCCTACCAGAGAGCAGAAAACAAGACAATTTACTCTCTCGACACCATTTCTGAACGACTGGTGGGTTATGAGTGTGACTGGGTGAGACCGGACGGCATTTCCCCTTATATTTAACCCTCAAGAACACAGAAGATTTGGGAAAAGCCACTGCATTTAGTTTAGTGCGTGGTCTCTTCATCTGAGGAGACACACAGCTGCATACCAGGCAAGGATCAATTATTCATCACCAGTTGAAGAAGAGGCTGGGTTTCAGGGATATATATATATATAATATAAATAGGATCACATCACCGCCATGGTGATCTTCAATGGTTTACTGAAGATCAAGATTTGCGAGGCGTTGGACCTGAAGCCGACGGCCTGGTCTCTGAGACACGCGGTTGGCCCCAAGACGCAGACGTTCCTCCTGGACACCTATATCGCCCTGAACGTGGACGACTCGCGTGTGGGGCAGACCTCCACCCGGCAGAGGACCAACAGCCCGGCGTGGAACGACGAGTTCGTCACGGAGGTGCGCGACGGACGGAGCATCGAGCTGTCGGTGTTCCACGACGCGCCGATCGGATACGACGACTTCGTGGCCAACTGCATAATACAGTTTGAGGACATCCTGCATAATGGGAGCAAGCACTACGAGGAATGGGTATGTGCGGTTATAATCTGGTGTTTTGTGCGCATATGGTGCCTTTTGCCAAATTATTGGGTAGCCCACAAGCTCAAAGAGTTCTATTAAATAGTAAAAGGAAATGATCCACTTTAAATTGACAAATCATTTGAGGGTAGTGGTGATAATCTCGTATGTTGTTGGCCAATGCCACCTGTATCATCCGAGGATGTGGCCCCAGACAGATCCATGATGCGCACGATAACCCCGTTGCGTAGGAACGGAGGAGAGAAGCTGCGCTCATGAAGCCTGTCATGCATATTCCTATCAGCCAATGGGCTGTCTGCATTCGATGTACATCAACATGTCCCCCAGCTCAGAAGCCTGTCATGCATTTTCCTATAAGCCAATGGGTTGTCTGCATTCTATGGACATCAACATGTCCCCCAGCTCAGAAGCAACTGCCCGTGCTTAAATTACACGTGTGATAGAAAGGTCAGACGAGTCTTACTGGAAGTGCCATGGCTCAGCTGATAACATAACTTGCAATTAATTGATTTGTCATTTGCATATGTCTTGGAAACCGTGACGCCCTTGAGCCGGGCTTGTGGAGACTACAGTCTTCATACAGAGAGGTCTTTCTTTTACAGCTAACCATTTAAATACTACACTGAAATCATGAGGTTGTCTTAGGGCCATTTGCCCTTCTTGGTAACATAGGCAGCTGCAGACTGACTAAAGAAGACATGCAGCGAATTACACCTAATCAAGGGTCATGCGCAGACGACATGGTTGTAATCATGCACCAAATGAGTTTATCAATTTGACGTCCAGCACATTTACAGTAAACCACATGGTGCTTGTGATTATTGCAAACAGACTTTGATCATGTTATGTTATGCCTGTCATGGGAAATGTGAACAACCACTCTTTAAATGCAGGCACATCAACACTGCTACTGTAGGACGTTGGTTTAGGAAAAGTAGATCAGGTTATGAGGAAACCTTAATATGCAAACAGATATTCCAAGTATAAACATATTCAGGTTTCCCCCCGCTCTTCCTTGTCCTGCATAAAAGAAACATAATTAATCCACTAATACATTAATGTGTAAATCCAGTAAATATGGAACTATTATTTACTGTGCCCATTTGTCACTACAAACAACGGGTTTACTTACGGAAATATGCTACCTGGAAATTGCTGTGGCAGTCACCGACAAATAACAGCTTGAACAGTTTCCCATGACAGAGGCACTTAACAAATACAAAGAGTATTTTTGTATTTATCCATTGCTGAAGCGATGACCCAGAAATACAACTGTAGAATAACTGTCTGTGGCTGAAATCCTGGCCTCTGCTGGCAGGTGCACAGGTGTGCTCTGTTCAGAATATACACAGACATCCTTCACACATACAGGTAGGGCTATTCAAATACAGTCCAGTATGCAGCGCAGAAGCACTTCTGGTTCAGTTCTTTTAATAATTGACTGAATCAGACCTGGTACACCTGATCCCATTAAGAACCAGGTAGAAACATAAATCTGAAGCTTTTTGCCCCCTGGGGCCAGACAGGAATAGCCCTCCAGTGCTAAGCATAGTAGGGATGCAAATTATCGATTCATTCATTAATCATCAGTTGATTGACTTTATCGATCGATTAACGATTAACTGATAAGTGGCTTTTTTCCGGAGAATGTACATTTCTCACAGTATCAATAGTGTCTTTAACATATGGCTGGACGATATGGCCAAATTATATATCACGATATATTTCTTAATTTCGATCGATACAATATAATTCCGATATCGATATGAACAATAAAAAATGCCAAGAACACCCACAACAGATGTCTGTGCCTACAATCTTCTGGAAAATGTATTTGCCAAGTCTATGAAACCTCCTCCTATAAAACTATATAATATTTTAGAAATGAAACGGTACAAATACATTAACGTTCACTTTTTATTTGAATTTAACCTTTATACAAACAAGAAAAGTCAAATAAACATAAGACTTTCAGACTGACCTTATTAATATATTTAACTTTAAACGTTACTTTTGGCGCTCTGCATGCATCTTGCGGAAGAACATTGTAGCCGGAACTTCTCTCCGTTTATGTCTATGACGAATCACGCAGGTACTGGGCTACGCCGCAGCGGAGCCGAAGTAGTTTAAAATAGTCCGAATATAAACACTTATTATAAGTGTACCATAGTGATTCCGGATAAAACAAAAACACGGTTTGGATATTGGATTCATGATGTACTGGCTCATTATATACATTTTGCTAATTTTTAACTAAAAAGGTACTGCAGCTTTAACATAGCACGCTGCTAGTCGGCTCCACTTTCCCGCATGCTTGGTTTATTTTTTGACGCCTCAAGTTAGTGTCGGGTCTCTCGCCGCCCGCGCTAATCTCGTGTCACGTTCAATTACGCCTACGTCCTGTGGAAAACGGTCTTTGATTGCAATGTTTAATTAACCGACAATTCGTTTATTTAATCGACTAAATTCTTATCGACAATTAATCGATAGTCGATTAACCGTTTACATCCCTAAAGCCTACTAATCGTTTGGTCTGTTGTCAAAATATATATTTTTTTGCCATTTTGACAGGATTTGTCTCGGGCAAAGAGACGCACGCAACACAGAATTACTAAATGGATACTGGCAGGTTCACTTAACAGTGAGAGTAGGACACCCACAGCTTGGTGGGGCAGGGGCAGGGCAGTAGGAGTTATGTCTCACTTTAGCCTGCAGAGCTTTCATCAACTTGCATGTCTGGCTGTTCTGTGCATCAATCCAACTCATTTTATGTAGCCACCTCTATGTCAGTTAGTAGTGGGGTAAAATGCAACTGGTCAGTTTATGACCGTGGTGTTGGTTAGTGCCGATTGGTGAATAGATCAGTCCAGATATCCAAGTTACAAACTACATTCCTTATGTGTCCTTTCCTTTTATATCTTGGCTGTGGGTCCGGCTTTTCTTTGACCTTCATTGAATGCTTTTCTCTTTCGCAGGAGATCAGAAGCATGTGTGGATCATGTTCTGGGCATGTATTCATTCTGAATGCTCTCTTTACGTACAGCGTTATCTGCAACTTGTGCCAAACAGACCTTTCCATCTGAATATTCACGTTCATGCATATTGTGATTTGATTGACCTGATAAGATGAATCATGTCTATGCTTATGTTTCTGAACATCTGAGATTTTCTCTCGCAAATGAACACTCATTGACTATTTTACTGAATATTTCCTGTATAAACATATTGTTGACTAGGCAGACTTCTTAACTTTAAGCAATGAGAAAAGGCTGTATGCTAGTTACTTTATGTAATAACAACCAGACATGCCCCATCCAAAAGTAATGCAGGATATATAACCGAGTATAATTAATTTAACCAGGTAGGCCGATTAGAACAATTTCTCATTTGCAATAGCGACCAGCTGGGATTTGAACCCAGGACATCATAGTCACAAAACATGCACTCCACAACTGAGCTACCAACTGTAGCTCCGTTGGTAAACAAATAAACTACCATGCAATAGTTTAGGGTTTCTTGGGAATGTCTTTGTTTTTGACAAAAAGGAAAATTTCTGTCCGTTAAAATAACATCAAATTGATCAGAAATATGAGGTAGACCAAGTAATGTGGTAAATTGCTATTGTGGCCATTATCGTCTGATTTTCAATGGAATATCTACACAGGCGTACAAAGGTCCATCATAGGCAGCGATTTGCTGTGTTTCGATGGCACGTTGTGTTTTCTAATCCAATTGTGTCAATGTAAAGACTCATTGATCATTAGAAAACCTTTTTTTTCAATCAACAAACAAAGCTGAAGACTGTCCTGCTGTTTTAACAAGCGATTAAACAGGCCGTCTTTAGGCTAGTTATCCGTCGCATCAGCATTTCTGGGTTTGATTACAGGCTTAAAATTAGCTGAAACAAAGATCTTCTGAAAGTGTCCGTCTATTTTTGTTCTGTGAAATGAAATCTGTTCCATGACAAAAATTGCCAAGAATATAGACTTTAATAGAAAGAGGAGTGGGAGGCCCCACATTATATTTATCTACAGAAAAAATCTACTGAAAAAAGTACTGTCCTCGTTTCAACAGCTTGTGTTGTCACGATTTGATTATAATAACTTAATGTCGTCGTTTCTTGTCACTGTCTATCAGTCCCTTATATCGACTGAACCGTTTATTTTTGCCCAAAAAATAGAGACCTACTTTAACTCAGTCTTCACTATATGGAACTCATGGTTGACTCAATGATGGCAAGTTCGCCAGTTCCTAGGCAGCAAAGCAGCCCCAAACCATAATGCCACTACATTCAAGCTTTAAGACAGCATGAGGTTTTGTCTGTTCAAAGGCAGTGTTTTGTGGCATCTGGCATTGCGGCATTACAACTCTATCTTTGACTCATCTGCACAGAGCACATTGTTCCAGTACGTTTTCCCTGACCTCCCATCTAAGTTTGTGCGGTCTCTTTTTGGCAGTTGACACATTCACTTCAACATTGATTGTGGCAAGAAGGCCGGTAGATCCCTTGATTTTACCCTGCGGTTGTACTCTCTTTTGGAGACATATATGAGCACTTTTCGAGTAGCCCTATGTAGATTGCCAGTGGTCTGGATGTTTCTCTATTTATAGATGATCCGTTGGACTGTGGAATGATCCAATTGCCTGGAAATGGCTTTGTAGGCTAATGGACATCAATAGTCTTTCTTCTGAGGGCCTTGGGTGGGTCTTTTTGTCTTGGCCATGTGTTTCCACAAATCCATACGGTCAATTATGACCAAACAAGACAGAGATTCAATTTCTGTTTATTTTACCTTTTTGTGTGATTTGTTGAATTGAATGACATTTATCAATGATTGTGTTTGGAATTTAGCACAAATATCTATGTGTCCAAATATGTTATATAAGAGTGTACACACTTTTCCACATGACTGTAGCTCCATTGGTGGTTAAAACTTAACAGACAGACAATATTGTTCCCTAAAAAATAGCCCCAGGGTTTCTCATATCGCTTTTCATAAATAATAAAGGGCAATTGTAGGTTATGTTATCTAGATGAAATTGCGAGTGAAGAAAGTAATGTAAAGGTTTAGCAGAAGATACTGTACATTAGCAATGGAGGTCCAGGGCAGCAACTTAGTGCATTAAGGAAAATAAAGAAATGTTCAGAACTTTACACATCACCTGCACTCGCACATGCACCCACACATGCACATCACCCGCACATCACCCCGCACATCACCCACACATGCACATGCACCCGCACATCACCCACACATGCTCATCACCCGCATCACCCGCACATGCTCATCACCCGCACATCACCCGCACATGCACATCACCCGCACATGCACCCGCACATCACCCACACTCGCACATCACCTTTACATGCACATCACCCGCACATGCACCCGCACATCACCCACACATGCACATCACCCACACATGCACATCACCTGCACATGCACATCACTCGCACGTGCACATCACACGCACCCGCACATCACCCACACTCGCACATCATCTGCACATGCACATCACCCGCACATGCACCCGCACATCACCCACACATGCACATCACCCACACTCGCACATCACCTGCACATGCACATCACCCGCACATCACCCACACTCGCACATCACCTGCACCCGCACATCAACCACACACGCACATCACCCAGACATGCACATCACCTGCACATGCACATCACCGACACTCGCACATCACCTGCACATTAGGGGTGTGCGATATTGACAAAAAATGATATCTCGATATTTTTTGGGATTTTGCCGATAACGATAATCTGACGATATTTAGCATTATTCAAAAATGTGCTTGTAAATGTCTTATATTCTACTAGCTCTGTTTTACAATGTCAATAGGATATTAATATATTACTAGTTGAAACATATTGTTGGAATGGGTATTTATTATTTAAAACTGAAGCATGCATGTAGAAACAACACAAATCACTGCTCTGCTGTAAGGTGAACTGTGCAGTATACTAACAAATATGACATTATAATAATAGTATCTAAATGCAAACTTCTGTCAAAAACAGCACTAGAAAACCTTAGTTAACAAATTACTCCCTTCTGTAAAAGGTTCTATAGTCAAAAATACAAAACATTAGCCCATAGTATTCTCAATTTACTAACTTGGCTCTGACGTTCTGCTTGACCAAAAATCGATTGTTGTGGCAAAATGTAAAACCTTCTGCACTTCATGCCAAGAGTTTAGCGACATGATTCATACTATTTAGGCACGCTGTTTTACTAAAGTATTTCCGTCCAGGCAGTGTGTATCTTGGGTGTAACGTCTTTAAAAACTGTTTAAAACCATCTCAACCACTTGAATTGGCACCATGTCTCTGGCAACGTAATTGGTGACAGCGTTTATTAGATCTTGCCGTCTGTCGATTGTTCTGTCGTAAGGTACTTTCTTGGTAAATGAATCCGTAACTTTGTTACGTGTGTTTTTTTATTTGACCCTGTCAGCTGCAGGCGCGTTGTGTTCGGCATATATATTATGTTATATATATATATTATGTTATATATTATGATATATATATATCACGGCATATATATTATATATATTCAGTTTAATCCTCATTCAGTGCGGTGGGTAGTTCGAAGATGATCAAAAAGATCGGACTCATAATCGAAACCAAAAACCTCCTCCATGCTAGTGATGACGACCCACGTCTAGGAATTTAATCTACCGTGGATTGTTTGCTGGTGTTTAAATATCTTCTGTCACAGTTTCTTTGCTCATTTTAACTTCTGTCAGCACCGCACGCTCTGAATGCGCGTGTCACATGTGCACCCTATGCGCGCAGTGAATTCGCGAACAATAATTGATGCAGCGTTTTGATTGGTTTCTGAAAATGAGTGCCATACTATGATAATATGATTTTGCATATCATTTAAACAAAAATGACGATATTATCGCAAACGATATATATCGCACACCCCTACTGCACATGCTGCACATCAGCCACACATGCACATCACCCACACTCGCACATCACCTGCACATGCACTTCAACCACACATGCACATCATCTGCACATGCACATCACCCACACATGCACATCACCCACACATGCACATCACCTGCACATGCACATCACCCACACATGCACATCACCCGCACTCGCACATCACTTGCACATGCACATCACCCGCACATGCACATCACGTGCACAGACGTTTATGGATTGTTTGAGACATGGTTGTTCTAAATAGTTGTGATTCACAGTTCTTTTTATCTCTCTTCGCACCTTCTGTTTGTTCACAACCCCCAACTTGTCTTCACCTTCACCATGGATTTAATCATTCCCTTCTCTATGTCCTCATGAACTTCCAATCCAAAGCTTCCCGACCGCTTTCCTTCTATCTCTGTGTAGATGTTTGTCTCTGTCCTATTTATAAAAACAAATAAACAGTGACGGGCTGTGCTCTGGCTTAGACACCCCCCCCCCATCACAAATCAACCCGAGCAATAAGAAATCATATTTCTCGTAGAAAAGGTGTGTGTGTGTTCCACTGATGGAGGTCTGACATAAGCGTTTCTTACTGCGCAGCAATCCGGATGAACGTGTTTAGTCCCCCGGGCTACAGAGCTCTCATTGGTCCACCGTCCGTGAAAGGCTCGGTCTCTGGGGGACAGATTCGTTGCCCAATACCGATGCAATGTCGACGACCACTCCTTGAGGATCTGTCTGGACCTGCACTTGTGGTGGGAGAAGACATGTGCTGGACACACTGGATGCCTATAGGCCAAACAGACAGCTCAGTTAGGTATGTGTCCACGATCACCTACCCGGGGGGGGGGGTTGTGTTTCGATACCCACGGGGGTACCTGGATGTAACCAGATGCACTCGCTGTAAGTCCCTCGGGTCTGTCGGGTGTAATCGAATGTGCGCGTGTTCTGTTGAACGCACGTGCTGACTCGAGAGTTCTGTCACAGTGGTGTTATGTCACGGTCGGTTATGTTTCTTTCCCCAGCACGTCTCCGTACGTCGACATGAGCTTCATTGAGCGACTGCGATGTGTGACACTTTGTATGACATCACTGTGATGGTGAGCGAGACCACTCTGTGTGTGTTCGTGCTCGTACACTTTCTGTTGTTGCGGTCCTCAGTAGGTTGTATAGGACATCTGCGGTCAGTGCAGTTAGTTCAGGAGAGTGGCTGTTAAGGAGAGTGAGCTGTGAGATTGTCAGGGCTTTAGTGGCTGAGTATGTTGGGGGTGTGGCCAAACACTAATGGCTAGACCACAACAGGCCGCTTTAGTGGCTGAGTATGTTGAGGGTGTGGCCAAACACCAATGGCTGGACCACAACAGGCCGCTTTAATGGTTGAGTATGTTGGGGGTGTGGCCAAACACTAATGGCTGGACCACAACAGGCCGCTTTAGTGGCTGAGTATGTTGGGGGTGTGGCCAAACACTAATGGCTGGACCACAACAGGCCGCTTTAGTGGT